GTTTGACTGGTTGGATGTATGCACATACATACATACATACATACTAACACAGATATTCATGCACATTAACACACAGATGCATATAAATACACTGACACATACACACAAATTCATATAGACACCGACACATACACGGACCGATGCATACACTCACATAGATACACACCAACATATACACACTTGCACCCTGACACATACAAACATTGATACGTGCCCACACCATGATACAGATACAGATACACACTGACATAAAAATACACACAGATGCACATACACAGATGTGTGCGCGCACACAGACACAGAAGCACACTGACATATATATATATATATATATACACACACACACACACAGATGCACACCTTGACACACTCATACACACACTCATACTCATATACATACAAACACTCACACACTCATACACACACTCAAACTCATACACACATGCTCATACTCACACACATACAAACACTCATACACATACACTCACAATCATACTCATGAATGTTGCCACAGCACGCCTGTGTGCACGTTGCGGCGCCCCAGGGCACCTTGGCACACAGTTTGGGAACCGCTGGTGTATCTGTTACTTTGTAATATAAAAGCATATAACAAACTTTATATTTTTATAATTGCTGCATTTATTGTTTTGGCATCCATTGCTATTTTCAGATATCCTATACCCAACATACAGTCGATGAACACACATGCCTGTGCAGAGCATTATGAACAAATGATGCTCAGTTCCTATACACATGCAAGATATATTTTGGAAAGTGGCAGCACCTAGCACCTAGCACCTATCACTTTCTTTCCAGTTCTTTCCCAACAAATAGATTTTATTTGAGGACAGCCAGTGACGGAATTGTTGCCGGTTCAGTCGTTGTGGCTGCACCAGGGCCAGCACATTGATGGGGCCCATCGGGTGGCCCGTGTAATTTGGGCAACTAGATGGGTGTTGCTGAAAAGGGGCCTGGTCGAGAGCCGCAGCCCTTAAACAGCGTGACCGAGCCCCTTTAACATTAGCAGTGCTGGGAGGAAGTGACAGCAGGTCACTTCCTCTCATATTAAAAAATAAAAAAAACACCAGACTCACAAAAAAAAGATGAAACAAACAAAAAAAAACCTGATGCATAAAAAGGACTTTTATCCTTGCAGGGTTGTATTTGTGAGCAGTGTGTTTTGAATCTAAGCATGTTTTTGTATATACATGTAGGAATGCATGTATATGTACTGTTGCCATTGGAATGCAGTGGTGTTCTTGTACATAGTGTTTGTGTTTGAATGCAGGGGTGTGTTTGTATGTAGTGTTGGCTTTTAAATGCAGGTACGCTTTTGTGTGTAGTATTGGTGTTTAAACGAAGGGTGTTTGTATATAATGGTAGTGTTTTAATACAGGGGTGTGTTCATATAAAAGGCTTGCATTTGATTGCATTTGTGTTCGGTGTGATGATGGCTTTTAAATGCGGATGTGCATTTGTGTGTAGTATTCGTGTTTGAGTGATGTATATAACTTTGGAGTTTGAATGCAGGGGTGTGTTTTTATTTAAATATTTGTGTTAGATTTTAGGACTATGCTTGCATGTTTTATTGGTGTATAATTGCTTGGATGTATGCATATACATGCACATACAGCCTCATACATACATACATACATACTAACACACATATACATGTACATTAACACACTGACACATACACCCACATTCATATACACACGGATACATACACACATAGATACACACCCTGACACACATAGACACATGGATACACACAGACATATACACACACACACATACACATACATGGACATACAAATGCACATACACATACATATGCTCACACCCTAATATATACACACACCTTGACACACAGATGCACACACAGACATACATAGACACACACACACACACCTTGACATAGACACACACACTAAGCCATACACACACCTTCACACACACACACATACATACATACTCACACACAATCTGACATGCATAGACACATACACACATAAATTTAATTTTTAAATTTGCAGCCACCCTCCTGTTTGCATACCTTTTGTGTCCAATAGGGTGCTGCTGCCGCTGGCTGAGTTTAATGAGTGTGTGGGGTCTGGAGCAGCTCTCTCCTTTTGCTCCTCTAGCCCCATGCTGCCATTGCCACTGCCTCCCTTCAGCACAGCATGCTCAGTAAGCAGCTGTGAGGAAGTGAATGCCTGTCATTTCCTCCCAGCCGTCCCATATTGCAGAGGCGCTTGACCGGGCCCCTGTTCTGCAGTACCCATCGGGTTTCCCTAAGTGCATGGGTCACCTGATGGGGCCCCACAGCATATGGGCCCCGATGCAGCCGCACCTGCTGCACTGGCGGTAGTTCTGCCACTGACCCTTAGATAGCATGGGGGGGGATTTGACAATGGCATGTCAAGATTCCTCCTTGCATAACACCCATGAGTGGGGGCTGGGAGGGGAGACTAGCAACCATTGTATGTAGTAACAGCCCCCACCTGATAACTAAGGGTAGGGGCTGTGGGGTCTTTATTATACCCCACTCAGTGACAATAGGTGAGGGCAGGGCAAGTACACTAGTTCCCCTCACCAGTTAATAATTATCCCCCTCTTGCTTGCTGTTGGAGCCATGGGACATAGGATGGTGGCGGGAGGACAGTGATATGTCCAATCCCCCATTATTTAATTTAAAGTTCCATCCCCATGGGTCATTGCTGCCCAGTTGTAAGATTCTAATGTTGTCACGAGAAGTATACATAAACACGCAAGAAATGGGAGACCCAACAGGATAAATCCTGTATGCTTAAACCTAAAATTTTCTAAGCATACAGGTTTAAGCATACAGGATTGGTAAGTACTTGATGGATCAGAGGCCACAGAAAAAGGTGAAAAAGTTCCAATAAATGAAAGACAGAATTAAAGAATCCTTGGTGGGGATTGTACAGCCTACGCTTGATCCATAGGGCTGTTTGTCTGCTCAATAAAATGTGAGTAATGTTCTTCTCTCTGTTAATGTATGTGGCCCATTCTATACAGAGAGCACAATTTATTTTTCTTTTTCTTTTTGAGTTACTTTGTTTTTACCTTGCTACGAAGTCGGCCTGTGATATCTCCATATATATCCTGCATACTATTAATCATAGGCGTGCGCACGGGGTGTGCCGGGTGTGCCTGGGCACACCCTAATCCCCGCGGCACGCCTATGCATATTGAGACCGGCAGGGGAGATCTCAGGATCTCCCCTGTCGGATCATGCAGAGCCGGCGCTATCCGAGCGCCGGCTCTGCTCTCAGCCTCCCTCCCCACTGACCCACATGCAGGGAGGGAGGTAGGAGAGGACCCGGCGGAGCTATTGCCGGTGTTCTATCAGTTTGGTATACCCCGTCAGATTGCTATACCCACGTCACTTCCGGGGAGGGGAATCAGCTGTCTCCTGTGCTGCTACTCCTCCACAGCAAGGTCCTGGAAGGTAAGTAAAACTAGTTTTACACTTTCATTATAGTTAGTGCATTCACTAAGCTTAGGACATGGGACATTTAGGGTTAATGTTAGGGTTCAAATTAGGGTTAGGATTAGGGACTTGTTCCTATTTAGTGATATTTCACATTAGGGGAATATCACTAAATAGTGATTTCTCACACTTTATTTTAACCCTTACCCCAAGGGTTAGGGTAAGAATAGAGTGTGAGAGAGGTTAGAATCACTTACCTAAGCCTAATTTGTACCCTCACTTAACCCTAAATGTCCCGTGTGCCTAAGCTTAGTGAATGCACTAACTATAATGAAAGTGTAAAACTAGTTTTACTTACCTTCCAGGACCTTGCTGTGGAGGAGTAGCAGGAGTGCTAGCACGCATGTGCAGCACAGGAGACAGCTGATTCCCCTCCCCGGAAGTGACGTGGGTATAGCAATCTGACGGGGTATACCAAACTGATAGAACACCGGCAGCTCCGCCGGGTTCCCCTTGCGAGATATGAGCGTTGCCACGGCAACGCTCAAATCTCGCGAGAGTGAACTCTAGCCCCACAGGGGGCTAGAGTTCACTCTCCACTGGACCACCAGGGAAAGCAACAGCACGATCCCCCCTCCCTACAAAAGGTAAGAAGGGAGGGGGGATAGCAATTAATGTACCCCCACCTCCACCCCCACAATCACCCACACACACATACAGCACACACATACAGCACACATACATACAACACCCACACACACATACAGCACACACACATACAACACCCACAGACATACACAGCACCCACACACATTCAGCACCCACAGACATACACAGCACCCACACACATTCAGCACCCACAGACATACACAGCACCCACACACATTCAGCACCCACACACATTCAGCACCCACAGACATACACAACACCCACAGACATACTCAGCACCCACACACACACACACAGCACCCACAGACACACACAGCACCCACAGACATACACAGCACCCACAGACATACAGCACCCACAGACATGCACAGCACCCACAGACATACACAGCACCCACAGACATACAGCACCCACACACATACAGCATCCACACACATACAGCATCCACACACATTCAGCACCCACACACATTCAGCACCCACAGACATACACAGCACCCACACACATTCAGCACCCACACACATTCAGCATCCACAGACATACAGCACCCACAGACATACACAGCACCCACAGACATACAGCACCCACAGACATACATAGCACCCACAGACATCCAGCACCCACAGACATACAGCACCCACAGACATACACAGCACCCACACACATACAGCACCCATACACAGCACCCACAGACATACACAGCACCCACATACATACAGCACCCACAGACACAGCACCCACAGACATACACAGCACCCACACACATACAGCACCCACAGACATACAGTACCCACACACATAGACATTACCCACACACATACAGCACCCACACACATACAGCACCCACAGACACAGCACCCACAGACACAGCACCCACAGACACAGCACCCACAGACATACACAGCACCCACACACATACAGCACCCACAGACATACAGCACCCACAGACATACACAGCACCAACACACATACAGCACCCACACACACATAGAGCACCCTCACAAACACACAAACAGCACCCTCACACACAAACAGCACACTAACAGTACCCTCACAAACACAAACAGGACCCTAACACACACACAGCACACTACCAGTACCCTCACACACAAACAGCACCCTCACACACAGTACATTAACAGCACCCTCACAAGCGCACACAAACACACACAAACCGCACCCTCACACACAGTACATTAACAGCATCCTCACAAGCACGCACGCACACACAAACACCCTCACCCACATAGCACACTACCAGCACCGTCACACACACATCACACTAACAGCACCCTCACACAGCACACACACAGCAGTGTGTGTATGTGTGTATATATGTGTATGTGTGTATATATATATATATATATATATATATATACATACATACATACATATATATATGCGGCGTGTGCTTCTGCTTTAGGGTGCACACCCTAATGCAATAGGCTGCGCACGCCTATGCTATTAATATTATATATTGCTGCCAATACTTTACTGTGGACGAGACTAAAAAAATATTGCCGGGATTATATCACTTACGTCTGACTCATAGAGCGGTGTGTGTGCTCATAAAAATGTGAGTAATACTCTTTACATTATTTATTCTGGCCCAGACCAGAGAGCACTATTGTTTTTCTCTTTATTTTTTGGGTTCTTTGGTTCTCACTTTGCTGTAGAGCCCGATTGTGACGCTTTACATACATCTGGATCTATAAAGACTTTATATCAGATACTGCTACTGTGTGCTGCTATCTTGCAAAGGGTACTCCATCTCTTACCCTTGGATTTCCTTTTATTTTGTTTCCCGTTGTTGTATCCTACTTTTTATATTTTTAGTGTTATCCCCTTAAGGACTGAGCCAATTGTACAAGTTTTGATCAAGTCAAAATGTAAACAAAACCTTGAATTTGCTCTAAATGTCTGTTTGGCATAATTCACCTCTTTCATATTATGTGTACCCACACTTATCATATATTATTTTGTTCAGGAAAAACAGGGCTTTCATGTCACACTAAATATTTGTATATTAAGCATAATTTAAGATGAATAAAATATAAACAAACTTGAGAAAATACGATTTTTATTTATTTTTTTAGTTCTGCATGGCATTTTAACTGTTAGCTGTTACTGCAATAAAGTACACATATTTGTATTCAGCGATGTCTCACGGGTAAAACAGTACCCCGAATGTACAGGTTTTATAGTGTTTTGGAAAGTTACAGGGTCAAATATAGAACATTACATTTTTCAGTTTATACACATTGAAATTTGCCAGACCGGTTATGTTGCCTTTGAGACCAAATGGTAGCGCAGGAATGAAAAATACCCCCATGATGGCATACCATTTGCAAAAGTAGATAACTCAAGGTATTACAAATGGGGTATGTCCTGTCTTTTCTAGTAACCACTTAGTCACAAACACTGGCCAAAGTTAGCGTTTATATTTGTTTGTGTGAAAAATGGCAAAAACGAAATTGAACGCTAATTTTGGCCAGTGTTTGTGACTAAGTGGCTACTAAAAAAGACTGGACATACCACATTTGCAATACCTTGGGTTGTCTTATTTTGCAAATGGTATGCCATCATGGGGGTAATTCTCATTCCTGGGCTACCATACGGTCTCAAAAGCAACATAACCAATCGGGCAAATTTCAATGTGAAAAAAAGGAAACTCAAGCCTTATATTCGAAAATTAAATCTAATAACATAAAAAGAAGAGAGAAGAGAGTTATGTATAAGGCACCAAAGAATGGCTCCTTTCCCCTCCTCCCCCCATATTGGGGGATGGGGGCAAGGGATCAAGGTCCACTGAGTAAGTTACAACAAGCAATGAAGCATGTTCTTGGTGTGATTTTTTTATATATATTTTTTTTTGTTTTTATTTTTATATATATATATATATATATATATATATATATAAAGGGCATATAAACTAAACGGTCACAAGGACAAAATAGATCAAAGAAAGGAGAAGGTATTTGTAAATATAGTAGGGAAATTAGAAAAGGGGGAACACAAGTTTGAGCAAATAATAGGTTAAAGGAGTATTTTCACAAAATAATGAATTAGCACATTTTTTTTATGTAAGGAATTAATATTTAGATATACTTAACTGTAGATTAAAAGAGTACATTTAAAAATGATGAATAAGCACACACTTCTGCTTGGAAGGAGAGAAGATTTTTATGAGGCACCTAATAATAGATTAAACAAGTGAAATACACTTCTTACACAAAACGAATATGTTTAAGGGAGTATATAATTAAATAATGGAAGGAAGAATATAAATTTGTGTGAATAATAGCTTAACAGAGTACTTTTAACAAAAGGATGAACAAGCACATATTTCTCATGCAAGGATTGAAAATTTGGAATATTTAATAGTAGATTAAAAGAGCACATTCATAAAAGGATGAATGAATAAGCATACATTTTCTCTTGGTAGGAAAATAAAGGATGATGTATCTAATAATAGAATAAAAGTAATAAGAAAAATATATATAATACACAAAACAAATATGTTTATGGGGGATTATAATGTAAGCAGAAGAAAATATTGATATAAAGAGAATTTTCAGTGACAGTGTGTGCCTAGAATAATAGGTTGTATGTGCCAAAATAAATTACAGGTTTAAAAAGTATAATTTTTTTTCTCTCTCAATGTTTTATAAGTTCTATCAAAATCTAGTAATAAAAGGGGGTTTCTTGTAAAGAAGTCTGATATTCCTATACCAAACCCATTTATGACGGTTTACTTTTATATATTAGTTAACCTGATATAGGGTGAAGCAATATTGGAAGTAGGGTTTTCTATTTCTCTCTTCTTTGAAGGGGGAAATATTGGGGTAAACAAATGTTAAGTGTTGGCATGTATTGTGATGTATTATATGTAGTAAGGATGTTTTTGTTTGGTATAATCCCTGCGAAATGGAGACTAGAGATGGAGAGAAACTTAAAATATGAAAGGTTATGCTTAAAATAGCATCATTGAATGTAAGGGGGCTAAATTCGGCACAAAATATATTTATTCTGGCAGACTTTTTAAATAAAGGAAAAATACATATATGTGGAATTTAAGAGACCCACTGGCTGACGAGTGATAAGACAGATTTAATCCTAAAGATTTTCTATATATTTATAAATCTTTCATGTTAAACAGAAATAAAAGAGGGGTAGCAGCTATAATTTCGTCAAAAGTAGCTTTCAAACTAATATATCAAGAAGTTAAGACTGAAGGAAGATTTAATATTTTAACATGGGAAATTAACAATAAAAAATACACTATAGTAAACATATAATATAGCATCTACAAAATTTATATATAAAATGGTCTCCAAACTAGAAAGGGTTAAACAGGGGCAAATCATATATCTAGGGGATTTTAACTGTATATTAGAGCCTAATATGGAGAGAAACAGTTTAGGTAAAAAAAAAAGAATAAAAACATTTAAAATATTCCTCTTCAAGGTTTGGTGAAAGTTTGAGAAAATCAGCTTTAATAAATATATGGCGGATTTGGCATCCTAAAGAGAAACATTTTACATGTTTCTCCCACCCACACCAGGTATATTCCAGAATTGATTATATATTGACAGAGATAGATACAGCAGATTGGTTAAATTTTGTTTTACTTTTATTCCTATTACTTAATACTAACATACCATGGTCAGACCATAATGCAATAATTTTGGTTATTAAGGATGACTTTATTAAAACAAGATCTAGTTGGAGACTGAAGAATTTAAAAAAAAATAAAAAAATTTAGAGGCTATATGGAAAACAATAGATTTATACTCCAGGGAAAATAGTAATATAGCGATATCAGCGTCAACTTTATGGTGTGCATTTAAATACACAATTAGGGGTCATCTAATAAAATTTGGAACTGAAGAAAAAAAAAAGAAAAATGCAAAATATAGCAGAACTCTATATTAAATATGATCTCTTGGAAAAACAGAATAAAAGTACCCCCATAAAAGAAATAAATGAAGAACTAAAAATAATTAGAGACAAAATTAATACTCTTTTAACCCCTTAAAGACCAGACTGTTTTTGCGATGTTGTACATTTGCGACCAGGCATCTTTTTACACTTTTGTGGTGTTTGTGTTTAGCTGTAATTTTCCGCTCTCTCATTTACTGTTCCCATACAAATTATATATTGGGGTTTTTTTAGGACAAAAGGGGCTTTATTTACATACCATTATTTTTATAATCTCATGTAATTTAAATTTTTTAAAAAAATGAAAAAAATGATGAAAAATTTAAAAAAATACATGTTTTTTGACTTTTACTTGAAAAATCTTTTACTTATCTACAAAAGCGAATGAAAAAACCTGCTAAATAGATTCAAAATTTTGTCCTGAGTTTAAAAATACCCAGTGTTTACATGCTTTTTTGCTATTTTTTTTGCATGTTATAGGGCTATAAGTACAAGTAGGATATTGCGGTTTCAAAACATACATTTTTAAAATTTATCAGCAGTGACATTGTAACACTATTATTTTTTTAAAGTAGACAACCCAGGGTATTCAATATGGGGTATGTCCAGACTTTTTAAGTAGCCACTTAGTCGCAAACACTGGCCAAAGTTAGTGTTCATATTTGTTTGTGTGTGAAAAAAGTAAAAAACTAAATTAAACGTTAATTTTGGCCAGTGTTTGTGACTAAGTGGTTACTAAAAAAGACTGGACATACCCCATTTGCAATACCTTGGGTTATCTTCTTTTGCAAATGGTATGCCATCATGGGGGTAATTCTCATTCCTGGGCTACCATACGCTCTCAAAGGCAATGTAACCAACCTGGCCATTTTCAAAGTAAAAATATTTGACCCATATATTTGACCCTGTAACTTTCAAAAATGCTATAAAACCTGTACATGGGGGATACTGTTATACTCAGGAGACTTTGCTGAACACAAATATTAGTGTTTTCAAACCTGGAAAACGTATCACAACAATTATATCATCAGTAAAAGTGCTGTTTGTGTGTGAAAAATGCAAAAAAAAAGGCATTTTCACTGACGATATCATCGCTGTGATATGTTTTACTGTTTTGAATCACTAATATTTGTTTTCAGCGAAGTCTCCCGAGTAAAACAGTACCCCCCATGTACAAGTTCTAGGGTGTCGTAGAACGTTACAGGGTAAAATACAGTGCTAGCAAATTAAATTCTCTGGACTTTCGGCCTGGGTTGGCAGGCA